TTTAATGCAGATTCCGCAGAACACATACAGGCTATATGAAAAATAATTACTGTATAATGTGTCCCCTGTTGTATAGTTTAAAACTACTGCACTGTGTCTTTGTGCACCAAATACTGGTGAGATGGCACCGTGTAGAAAAGTCCAAACAGTGTCTGTGAGTTAAAAAGGCCGCCATCCATTGTTCTCACCATGTGTTTCATCCATTGTTCTCACCATGTGCCTCTGATACATGAAATGGTGGCCACCCAGTAACTCCACAGTATGTCCCCAGATAGTTCTTAAAGGGCCAGCAGCAGCACAACACAAGTCCATTATGCCCAAATCATGTCTTTAAAGGGCAATACATCCCAATACGGGCAATACGGGATCTTTTTTCTGCCATGGCCAAACCATCTAAACTAACACTAGGAACGTCGTGTCCCTCAATTTTAAACTCATCACATATCTAGAATAAGTTCAAAATTAAGAATAATTTTGCCAACAATCCCTCTCCACTTATTCCAGTTTTACGGAATAGGCAGTTCACCCCTGGCATGAGACCGCATCATTTTAAAAATTTAGAAAGGGCAGGTATTCTGAGATATCAACATCTATGGCCAGGTGGGAAGATAGTCTATTTATGAAAGACTTAAATTCAAAGACACATCTGACGATTGAAAGGGACATGTTTAAAGACAAGGGCTTCTCTTCTGCGATGACTGATACCCTCCTAAAGGCCATAAACCACTCAGGATTATCCACTTATTACAAAGTCTAAGACACATTTTCAGCATGGGCTACTCTTTTCCTTTTTATATATTTATTTATTTATTAAGGGCTATGTAGCAATATTCATATCAGAGGTCTTGAGCAGATTTGATTCTTTTAGTCTCTATGAAAAAATGTCTCTTTTCCTTTTTATATATTTATTTATTTATTTTTTAAGGGCTATGTAGCAATATTCATCATTGGCATATACTGATCTCTTATTTCCAACCACTGTTGCCATCTTCGTTTATATAGATCCTCTCTACCCTTAACTCTGCTTGACATTTTTTCATAGAGGCTAAAAGAATCAAATCTGCTCAAGACCTCTGATATTGTTGGTGTTTGTTTCCATTTATGAGCAATGGT